ATCCTGATGGAGAGCATTGGGCTTGGAGCAAGGGCAGAGATTTGTATGCCATGGTCACAAACATACCATCCTTCTCTTGTTGTTGCTGGGTGTCAGCAAGAGGAGAAGAGCTGGAGCTGCAATTCTGCAAGACTTGTTTTATTCTTTGATTTCCGGTACATAGAAATGAAACTCATTCTCTCAGCAATTGCCTTGGGTACAGACTCAGGGAAGAGCAATTTCTGGCACAGAAATGCAGGCGGTTGGATGCACCATGGATACCATCAGCCATCATTCTAGAGCAGGGCTCTTTAGCTCAACACCAATAGAAAGAAAACCCCAGCAGCAGCAGTGGTTTCCTCCAAACTTGCCCCGTGGTGGCACTGGGGCTCCCTGCAGCAGGTAGGGAGGAAGGCAGGAGGAGTGCCAAGCCTGGTGGTTTAGGGCACACAGAGCCTGGCTCGGCAGAGGGACCTCTAGCCTCAGGCACCCAAATGTGTTGGAGAGATGCTCCAGAAATTGCTCTTTCCCACCTGCAGTGTGACCGAGGGACTAAGCAGGAAAAAAATATATTCCAGCTTTTTCAAGGGCTGTGGTGTTGCACAGTCATGGGATCTTGAGTGTTTGGCTTAAATACTCAGCTCCTGGGAATGTTAGATTATGGCAGAAACACCACTTTCGTCCCCAAGGATTTGAGGGACCTTTGTGAGGATTTGAGGGACAGCTTGGAAGCACCATCTAGATGGATCCCAGATTCACACAAGGTGAAGAAAATGTGTAATGGTTTAGAAGCTGATTTAATCTTCTGTTTTAATCTTCTGTTTTTTCCCTCTGCCTGATGGATTTGGGACTCGTGGTTTCTGGCCCTGCAGTGAGTCAGCAGTGGGGGTTTCAGGGTGCTATACAGTGTCCCTTTTGTTTTCTGTTTACACAAGCACTATCATGTCTTGTGCTGAAAGAACCCCTGAGCCACAGGAGAGAGAGACTTGAAATGCAAATTTCAGCACATACTTGCGCTGTCGGGACTCTGGATCTCGGCATACTTCATCCCGCTGTGTCCAGCTAGGGAAACCAAGGGGTGGATGTCTCAGCAGCCCACGTCGCTCCGTGAGCCTTAGCAAGCTGTCCTGGCTCTGACAGGCGCTCCTGGTCTGCCTCATTCCTGCCATGTCTTGTAATGCAAGAACATCAGCCTCACACAGCAACACGTGCCTCTGAAAAAGAGGACTGCGGGCAGTGGGCTTGCAAAACTGGACACTGAATGCAGCAGGAGCACAGGACTAGGCGAGGCCACCTAAAACACGGGCTGCAATCCACAGCCTGCACGGGCAGCCCCACGCTAGCTCAATGCTGCTCACATCGTCACAGCCTGCGCTACCCAGCAAATCTCTGCCTGGGAGAGGAGCGAGAAGCAGAGACCATGTCAGAGGGTCCAGCAAGAGCAGGGTGTCATCAGCGCGTGTCCTAGATTACTGTAGAAAGCAGTCCTTCCTCTAGCGCAGGATAAATGGTGCAGTTGCCTGATCGTCCTGTCCTCATTCTGCACTGATCAAACCCTGCCGCAATGCCCCCGTGCACGCAGGACCCGACGGAGGGGCTTTGCAGCAGGCAAAAGGCAGCGTGGTGGAGATCAGGCATGCTCTAAGAATAGCCTGTGTTATTTTCACATACCTGCTGTTTCTCAAACAGGTGTGATCTCAAACACTATTAGGAGGTAATCCTTTTCTCCAGGATTGCAGTCTCATTCCAGGGACAAATTTGCCTTAGCAATTCTTGCTGATTGGAGATTCATCCAGAGAGCGGGCTTGCCATTTGTTCCTCCTACCCTTTCTCCCAAAAACCTTGTACAGCAGAAACAGCAGCAGTGCACGTCTACCCGGCACAGAGCACTTGCTCACACCCTAGAAAGATCACTTGGAAAACTGCATAATAGCAGCACCTGCTGGCAGTGGCACTTTAAGCCTCGAGGCCGCATTATTGAAGGAATTCCTATTGGTTTTGGGTCTAAGCATTAGGAAGAGCTTTTTTAATTGGCACCCAGGTTTCTTTTTGTGAGAGAGAATTATTCCATGGGGCTTTGAGGAATGCCACATGTGGCAAGCTGGAGCACACCCATAGGAAGTTTACGGCTTGATACCTCTGCTGCCCTCAGAATTGATGAAGACAGCTTTTTTAATTAACTTTCCTGAGAAAGGCTTTTTTTTTTTCATACAGGGGGGCAGGGTGCAGTGTACATTTTAATGGGAGTTGTCAGGAAAATTATTGATTTTGTTAGTAATGTTTTTGAAATTGTGCCATTCTGTTAATTCTGTCAGGTCCTCTTTGATAGCTTGGCTAAGAGCATTTTTGCATCCTTCATTAGTTTTTTAATACACGATAATTTCCCCTAACTCATCAATGCAAAGCAAGATCAGCTGCATGCTTAGTAACCATTTTTCCTATGTACAAACCTATTGCAGCAATAATTATAAACAGAACAAATTATTACAGATATTCATTATAAAATACAATTACACTGAGCCATACTGCGTTGTTACACTTTTCACAGCCATCACTTGCTCTTGAGTAAATGGTTTCATTATAAGCATGAAGGGCAAACTTAATACACTTCTGACTCATAGCAAACAGCACAAGAAATCATCCTGGCTGTTCCTCCAAGTGCTTGGCGGTGTTTGCTCTGAATGAGAATAAAATGTCGACTCTGCTGCCAAATACTTGTCAGCTTAACAGAGGGGTTCTGGGTGGCAGTACAGACGTGCAAGGAGGGGAGAAAGCCAGAAATTATGGCAGCATGGCCTGAATTTGACTCCCCTAGAGCGTGGCTTTCTTCCATGTTTATGGGTTTGCAGTGCTAAGACCTGCCAGGAACAGCAGATCCTTCTTGATCATATATTGGAGCAGCCTCGGGGCTGCTCCAACTTGTGCTGGCTGTGTGTGGAAAGCGCAGAGCAGCCAGGGATGGGGCAAGAGGTGTTTCTTCAAAGGATGGGACAGACAGGCTTGGGCAGGGGGAGACCGACTGGGAAGCTTGTTTAAGCAAGAGCATTCACAGAAGGACAGTGCCGTCAAGCATGGGGAAAAAGCAAACCCAGCCAGGAGATCGGCAGCAAGCAGGGGGCTGCAGACAGTCACTGCATTGCCTTTTTATTTCTTGTTGTTATTGCCTTCTTATTTCTTGACCTGGCAGCAATGCCACACGCGCGTAACAGTGAGCAGGGCACTCTGGGCAGGAGCAGGGGCTGCTGGATTTCTGCCCCCCCATCTTGTCTTTGCAAGGGCTTTGCACTGTAGGAAAGACCATAGTAGTCCCCCCCCACAATGCACTAGCCCCTTGTACCCCAGGGGTTTGGTCACCTTCTGGTGAGCAGCTTTCAGCTGGGTGTTTCTCAGCTACTTACATGAATCCCTGAAAAGAGCTGGGAAGCTTCTTCCATGCTAATTTTTTCCCCGGTGAAGCAATTCGTTCACTCAATTTTCACTCTACTGGGTGCCTCAAGAAACAAATCTCTCTGCTGGTGGCCACAGCCTCCTGCAAGGCTTTTGCTCTTTGTGGTGCGTGCTTTGTGGCTGTGCTCTGAGCAGGGGCTGTGCCTTTGGACCTGCCCTGCTGATGCCGCAAGGGGTAAATTCGGCAACCCCGGGTGTCGTGGCTTAACCCTAGCCAGTAACTAAGCACCACACAGCCGCTCACTCATTTCCCCCCCACACCCAGTGGGATGGGGGAGAGAATCAGGAAAAAAAAGTAAAACTCGTGGGTTGAGATAAGAACGGTTTAATAGAACAGAAAAGAAGAAACTAATAATGATAATGATAACACTAATAAAATGACAATAGTAATAATAAAAGGATTGAAATATACAAGTGATGCACAACGTAATTGCTCACCACGCGCTGACCAACGCCCAGTTAGTCCCCAAGCAGCAATTCCCCCAGTCCCACTGCCCCCAGTTTATATACTGGGCATGATGTCACATGCTATGGAATATCCCTTTGGCCAGTTTGGGTCAGCCATCCAGGCTGTGTCCCCTCCCAACTTCTTGTGCCCCTCCAGCTTTCTCACTGGCTGGGCATGAGAAGCTGAAAATCCTTGACTTTTAGTATAAACACTACTTAGCAACAACTGAAAACATCCATGTGCTATCAACATTCTTCTCATCCTGAACTCAAAAACATAGCGCTATACCAGCTACTAGGAAGAAAATTAACCCTATCCCAGCTGAAACCAGGACACTGAACCATGTGAGAAAAAGACTTGCTGCAGAACTCTCAAACAGGAGAGAACCAAACCTTCAGAGCTTGGGGAAGGATGTGCTGGTTGCAAAGGAAAATAAAAATGTCAAATCTCACCACGAGTGAAGCTTTCCTGCCCTAACCAGAAAGACTGTCTTTCCCTTATGTTCCCTCCACGGAAAAAGTCCTAACTCCAGCATCCCTTTTGAACTTCTGAATTGGAGCCTCCAAAGCCCAAACCGAGCAGCTGATCATGATGTTGAGCACGGATCTGCTGTGCCTGGCAAGACAGAGCCTCGTCCGTGCGCAGGGGCTGGTTTAAGCAGCACATCATGCTTTCAGGGGCTTGGTCCATGCTGGTTCCCAGTGCTCGTGTCGCCGGGAGCCTGTGCAGTGTGTACAACCTGTCAGGGGGCTGTTCTGTACCCTGGGCTTTTGGAAAGGGAAGGGATGTGTCTCGCTGCCCCCAGGCCGAGGCATCTCTGGAGGAGGCTGATCCAGGCTGCGTCATGTCCAGCCGTGGCCTCTGGCCATGCCAGCGAGGATGGTACCCTGTGAGCTGCTGGTGCTCTGTCCCTGTGGTCCGTGCTCATCCTGAGGCAGGCTGGGCCCATCAGCTCCTGCCCTTCGCTTTCAGCTGTGCTGCCCCTCCAGCCTGTGCTACCAAACCCACTGTTTCCTGTCCGCAGCCCCCTTTCCTGCCATTTCCACCCTCCTCTTCCTCTCCCTGTCTCCCCTCCTCCCTTTTCCGCCCTTACTCTTCAATCTCTATTTCTTCTTCTCTGTTCCAGCAAAACGATATCAATCAAGGTGATAGATGATGAGGAGTATGAGAAAAACAAGACCTTCTACCTAGAGATCGGGGAGCCCCGGCTTGTGGAGATGAGTGAGAAGAAAGGTGGGGGACGTGCTCCAGGGCTGAGCCCAGCCTGTGTGTCCCTGTCTGGCTCACTCATGCCTGGCACCTGCAACACCACGCTCACATCCCCAACGCCTATGGAAAAGGGCAGGAGCGAGGACACTTCCCACCCCTCCCGAAGTCAGCCTTTCCCCAGCCCGCCGAGGTCCAACGCCAGCCGGGCGGTGGGGATGCTCCTGCCCTTCCCCATACGCCCCAGGAGGGATGTGCAGCCGCTTCCCCCCACCCGACCATCTCCGGCACCACGGCACCTGGGCGGACGTGAACTGCATGCGTGTGTGATGCCAATCATGTGTTTGCCTTTGTCTTGTGTTCCCACAGGAAATTCATTACCCTTAGAGTACTTGACCGTGAGGAGTATGAGAAAGAGTGCAGTTTCTTCCTTGTGCTTGGGGACCCGGTGTGGCTACGACGAGGAGTGAAAGGTGTGAGAGTAAAACCAGACCAGCTCTTGAGACGCTGCCGTCCGCTTTCTCTGTGTCTCCCTACTCTCACACTCCTTTCTCCTCGCACTTTGGCTCCCGGCCGTTTTGCCCTCCCTCCTTCAAAGCTTGGCCACTGCACCTTTTTGCTCTGTTTTCTTTCCTCTTTCATTTGGGGAGGACTGTCTCACTCACAAGGGCCCCCCGGGAGCAAGGCACGCTCCCAGGAGGGCTCTGGAGCACCCACGCAGGGGACGATGAGCATCGCCAGCCCCCAGAGACATTTTGGGAGCGCTGCCCTGCCGCGTCGCAGCTAGACCTTCATTTAATTGAGTAGAAAATTCAGTCTCGAGAAGAAAAAAGGCAATGCTGCATCATTTCTATCAGAAGATAAAATAGCCTTCGCTTGAAATAAAATGCATGGCCAGAGCAGTAATTTTAGCCTTTTTATACTGGCACTAGTCTCTGAAAATAGCTGAGAATCACGGCACCAGCAGGTAATACTGTAAGATGCAATCAGTCTAGGAGAAATCAGGTTATGCTCAAATAAAGTTTCATGGCTCTGCAGTGGATAATAGCTTCTCATAGGAATAATAAAAACAATTGCCTCTTTCATCACATTTCTAAACCAACTGCAAACCTCCCCAAAAAGACAGAGTTCACTTATTTTTCCATGCATCTGTTTCTGCTACGAAATTAAGTGAAAATTAATGGCAACAGCTAATTCTGCGCAGTATTGGTGGCTGAGCAAGAAGCAGTTTTAGAGTTACTTAAGATAATTAGTTGCCCTACAAGAGACCCTTATTAAACCCTTTGTAAAAAGTTGGCAGCAGCATTTGGTCTGTCTGCCTTGGAGCTGCTTTCTAATTTCTGGGACATAAGCTCTCCCTTCAGCAGGCATGGGGTTGTAATACATTATTTGTTCAGGACAGAGAGGGCCCCCAGCGGTCCCCATGCTGAGTGGGGACGTGCTGCTGCATTTCAGGCTAAAAACGCAGCCGGCAGCGATGCCACGTTCCCCTTCAGCGCTGGTGCCGTCTAGGTCAGCTGCATTGTCCCCTGCCTCAGGTTTCCTGCTGGTTTATGTGACTAGCTAGCAGAAGCAAGGCTAAAAAATCAGACACGCTGGCATGGCCCAGGCTCTGCAGGTGGGATTCGTATCATTAAATGGTGCCAGTGGCATCTATGGAGCATAGCCAGTGTTGCCAAGGATAAAGTGACACATGGACAACTCAACTCGGCAGCTCCGGATTTGCCTAGCTTCACAGGGACCAGCGTGGGCTCAGCCTTGTGAGCCTGGCAAGAGCAAACACGCTTTCCAGGCCCCAGTTTTGAGAATCATGGTACCAGCTCATGAGATCCCAGCTGAAATTTTTAATTAAAAATAGAAGGAAAAGGAAAGAAAGTTCGTCATCCTCCTGGTCACAAAGATAACTGAGGAAACCCAGGGGAAGCTCAGCTTTGCAAACTCACTAGCTGGAAGGCAAGTCAAGATTTTAAAGGATGCTAGTTGCTGCTTTGGCCATGCAATGTTTTTTGTACTTGGTTTTGTATGAAAGGCAGCAAGGCAGGGCGAGCTGTGTGCTCAGCACCCTGGAGACAAGAGCATCTCTGAAATGTCACCCTTAGGCCATGTAGCCATGGTGAGGTCCACACCTCAGAGGCCAGAGACCCACCAGTGCCCTAAGGGAGAGGCTTTTTCTTCTGTTTTGGAGACCTAAAAAGTTGAGCGACAAGATCCTTGAGCCAAGCCTTGCCACAGACTTTTCTTCTCTCATTATATACGCCAGAAGCACAGCTGCCTGGTTGGAGCTATCGCTCCCCATTAGGAAGCTGGAGGAGGTCAAAGCCAGTAGCCGCTGCACATGGGACATCTTGTGTCCTCCCCCAGGGCAGAACTGCCTCTGAGACCAATGGAAGATCTTGCACATACAATTCAAAGGGGAAAAATGAATTTTTGGCGTGTGCCTTTTAATCACATATCCACCCGATGTTTGCAATAGTTTTTATTTTAAATCCACAATCCCATGAAACATTTCTGTTCCTTTATTTTTAGTGCCTTTCTCTCAACACTAATGGTATCCTGCAGCTTTACAGATCTGAAATCTCTGCCCTGGGATCTGGAGTCTTTCTGTGGATATCCCTTTTGATTTCATTATTCATTTACTTTTCTTCTTCTGTGTTTGTCTCTGTCTGTCTCCTTCACAGCCCTGTTGTTGAATGAGCTTGGTAAGCGCGCATTTGTTTTTCTTTTACATTTTTCCAGTTTGTCTGCGTATTTTCGGAGACAATTGATTTTGCTTGACATTTTTCTTTGTTCACAACATTCTCTTTTAGGGTGGTCAGCACTACTTAAGTAAGCTCAGGTATCTAATGCCACATCTTTCCTTGGAGTAAAGCCCCAAAGTCACTAAAGTTAATGAGCGGTAACCTGCTGTGGCGAGGAGCATTTTTCGGGAGTGGCGTTGTTACAGCCATAGTAAACCCGCCGACACCCCGAGCTACAAACCTGCGCCGTGCAAATTAACCCATAGCCTTTTACACTGGCATGGCAGAAACAGGATTGCCTGATGACTTCTTAGGGATGCTTGTGGCTGGACAGGAAAGTTGGCCGATCCTTTCTGAAGAGACGATGCAAACTTTGCCTCCAGTCTTGGGGAGATTTAGAGCCCACCCAGCCTCTGAATTTCTTTGCTGGCCATCCCCAGGATAGGGCGGCCAGGGAGGGAAGCAAAGCTGCCCTCAGTCCCCGCAATACCCGCAGACCCAGGGCAGGCTCGCACTGGTTTTGCCCACTCCGCAGCATATATTGGGTACTTGGGGGTGGCAGCTTACAGGTGTGGGTTGAAAAGCCTGTGTTCAGGTCTCCCCGCACTATCCCTGGGGCGCGTGTCGGGGAGCAGCCCCCCCATGTCCGCAGTCCCTGGCCGTGGGGCAGGGAAGGACCACTACGTCCCTGCGGGCTGCAGGGTGTCCGTGTTGCTGTGCTGATGCTAATCCTCTCTCTCTCTCTCTCTCTCATTTTTGGTTTCATCTAGGTGGCTTCACCATCACAGGTATGGATTTCTGCTCTCCCCCCCCCCCTTCCCTCCTTTTAATGGCCAAATGCTCACCCCGCTCTTTCCTCTTGGTTTCCTCTTTGCTTTTGTTCTGTCCTGGAGGGAAACTCTGGAAGGGTAAGAAGGCACCGTGCCGCGGCCCCACGTCCCCAGCCAGTCACACTAACGCCGTGTCCTCTCACAGAGTGCTCTGCCTGCCGCACACACCTAACCCCCACCTCGGGGGGGGTCAGCCGTCACCCCTGAAGCAACAGGCAGGCCCCCCCCCCATCTCTTGGAGCAGGGGGCTTTCTCCACTTGATCCAGCCTTCCCCTCCCCGCACAGAAGGTGTGCACGGGGCTCTGCACGGCACGGGGAGCTTGTCCTCGCTTCCCAGGCTGCGGCCAGGGCGCCCGAGCACTGCGGGAGGTGTGGGACCCCACAGCTGTTTCAGGCACGCAGCCCGTGGTTTGCTCATCCTTCACCCATCACTAGGCTGAGCGCTGCAGGGGAAGAAGGTCCCGGGTCCCGCATGTTGCAAAGCAGCCCCTTGGGAGCCCTGGAAACAATAGTTCAGACTAAGGAGGCTCTGGCCGTGAGGCCAGTCCCTTGGACCAGCAGGAGGAGAAGGGCTTTCCCACAGTGTGGTGCCACCCGTGCAGATGAGAGGCAGCCGTCAAGGGAGCAACGCTAACCATGTGTGAAGTAGGAGTAGAGCTTACTAACTGCACAGCGGCGGTTTGCACGGGGCATACAGTCCCTCCTGCTGATCTCCTACTGATCGCTTTGATAGGCAAACCTGTCTTCAGGAAGGTCCAGGCTAGAGATCATCCTCTTCCTTGCACCGTGGTCACCATCCGAGGTACCGGCAGCGTGACGCACGAGGGCCGCGGCGGTCTAACACGGACTGACTGGGGTGTTTGCCTACTGACAGTTTAACTCATGTCTCCAGTGAATCCAGCCCTTTTTAGCACTGATGCCGCGCTCGTCCCTGGGGCGGGCTGGAACAGAGCTCAGTGGGGGTCTGCAGTGACAAAAGCCGTGCTGCCAGGGGTCCCCGTGCCCCAAAGGTTGCATGGATGCCAGTGGTGGTGCAGACCTGCTCCGTTGCTCTGCAGCCCCTCCACTGCCTCCTCTCACAGGGTTTGGGGCCCAGCCATGCCCTGTGGATAGCTCCTTGCACCTGTATGTCTCCAGCCCCACCATCACAGCAGGAGTTTCATGCTGTCCAGCTGTCGGCCCCTTCCCCAAGGTAAAGGCCTGCTCGGAAGGAGGCAGAGCCAAGATTTCATACCCATCTCAGCCCTGGGGCTGCTGGCAGCTCTCTTTGGTTGTAACAGATAGAAATGTCCTGACCATGCACCAGTGCAGACCTGGAGACCTGGGAAACAGTGCAGCTCTAGGGATGCTCTGTCCCCTCCCAGCATCCCTGTAGGAGAGGCAGCAGGTACCAGGCGATAAGCTGTTTCCCAGCCCTGAAGGTGAACTGGACTTCTTTTGAGGTTGGACGAGTTGCAGACCTCTTGCAAGCATTTCCCAGCAAAACTACCTTGTCTATTGCTCCATGACCTCCTCCTTCTCAGCTGCTCTGTCGCTCACGCTCCCACCCAGAGGCTTCCTGACCTCCCCCTCTGATGGGAAGCCAGCTCCAGAGAGTGACCAGCCGGGCCTGGCTCACCGATGGGCTCTTTGCTTTGCAGAGGAGGATGAAGAAAAGCAGCCACTGACCAGCAAGGAGGAGGAAGAGCGTCGAATCGCCGAGTTGGGGCGCCCAGTCCTGGGGGAGCACACCAAGCTCGAAGTCATCATTGAGGAATCCTACGAGTTCAAGGTACTGTCCACATCCCCTGTCCTTGTTTTTCTTCTCCAGCTGGGGACCCTCCTTTTGCATTTGCACGGCATTGGCAAGCACACGCTGATGGTATTGCAGCAAAATGAGGCAGCTCCTGGCATCACAAGGTCTCAGAGCAGGAGCGAGGGACGCTTTGAAAGGTAGCTGAGCCAAGGCATGATGAAAGGGTGAGGGTCACTCCAGTGAGATGGCTGTGGGTTAAAACGCACTCTGCATCCTCATTAGCCTGGCCATTAGCCCACAGCCATGGTCCTTGGGGGATGATCCCAGCCTTCCTGTCCCATTCACAGACTGTGGTTATTATTATACAAGCACATCAGTCTGGTGAGCCTAAGAGTTGACAGGGCTCCAAAATGCTGCACGTTGCTTTAAAATATAACCTTGTCCTCACAGTGGTGTGCTACACCCAGGTCCTACTTACAGGCGGTCTTGAGTGAGCCCCGAGCCTGGGACTCCCAGCGCGAAGGGCTGATACCCTAAATGCAAGTAGTGGCTGTGAAGCTAAGCTGCCATGAATGCGTGTGCCAGACCAAGAGCTGAAAACTGGCCATTGCATTATCTTTTCCATTTTTCTGCAGTACAAAAAATAACAGACCGCCCTCACTGTGTCGCGGCGGTGGCTGCCTCCCTCCCTTGGTTTCACTGCCCACCGTCAGCGTGTGCCTGAGGCATCCCAGCGGGAGGGCAGCCCTCAGGCTGCCTGCCCAGGAACGTTGCCTACCCACTGCTGCCACAGCACCTTCCCTGCTGGCACTGAGCTCCAGCTCCTGGGCGGCACAGGGAGGTGGAGCCCAGCTCTACAACTGGGCCTTGATCAAGTTCCAGAGAGTGCTTTGAAGCAGTCCAGTAAAAATTCTTCCCAAGGCGTTGGGAACGACAGGAGCTGTGGCACCTCAGCACTATTTGCTGTTAAACCTCCACTGAGATGGTGCAAACTCCCATCATGAGCAGGTTTCAAAAGGTCTTTTTGAGCAGCAGCAAGGGGAATTGCAAGTACTTACATTTGCTTTCACTGCTGGGGCTCTTGACCTGAGCTTAAAATCTGCTAAGCTCTTTCCATAAGTGCATGGCTGTAAGCACTAGTGCCAGTGGATTTTAGCCCAGCATCTCCAGCCCGATAGCCCCTAATTCTCGCCTCTGCATCTCCATCCACAGAACACAGTGGACAAGCTCATTAAGAAGACGAACCTGGCCCTGGTGGTTGGCACAAACAGCTGGAGGGAGCAGTTTATTGAGGCTATTACTGTCAGCGCAGGTGAGTTTGGACCACAGCTCCAGTTGAATTACCATCAGCCTCGCTCGTGTCTTGGCTTGGCTGTATCAGTAATACAGACCGTAGTGGAGCAGCAGGAGGCAAAACGAGTGGCAGAGTTATTTACAGTGCCTGCATAAATAAGACAGCTGATTAAACCCTTTCGTGAGAGCACCTTGTCTGATGTGTAGGAAACCTCCTGCACTGTGTGTCTCTAGCACCCGGCAGAGAAACACCCTGGCTGTTACCAGATGGCAGAGGGGAAAAGTCATTTCAGTGAGAGAGATTTGGGAGGTCAACAGTGTGTAAATTCAGAGTGGCATAAATGATGCTGGAGTGAAGCAGCAGTGCTCCCCATCCCTGGTGCTCCCCGTACTGCTGTGATGAGGACAATGCGGTAGCGAGGGTGCCAAGCCCTGAAGACAGCCGCCGAGCCACCCTCTCTGTCGGCCAAAATTTGTCCTTGACCCCCTGCTTTCAGGAGCTCCTGCTGCTCCAGACAGCTGTGGCTGGAGGTAATTAATGGCTCAGCACCCCAAGAGCTGTAGCAGCACATGATATCTGTGGTCATATCAGATCATATTTGATCATATCCTTCTTCTCTTGGACAATTGCCTTTCCCCCAGAAATGCCCTGTTCTACTGTTTTCACAGGCACCAGTGCCACGTTTACCAGTATGCCCAGTATAGGATACATCAGCATTGCCACATCTGTGGAAGGTTAAAGAAAGGTGGTCTCCTCCAGATGTGGTTCTAACAGCTGGAGACACTATAACTCACTGGCTAGATGTTACCACCTCACAGCCCAGCAGCTTGGGCTGTGTGTGTGCAGGCATTAGGGCAAAATCAACCAGCTTAAATTAAATCACTGGGGAAGGCAATTTGAGCTCATCTGGCTAATTGTGCATTGAAATGCGTGGGGGAACATTCACACTTCCTACCTCGAGCTCTGCTGTACAGGGTAATCTCTGCCCAGCACAAAGTAATTAAAAGTGATTGCCGTACCATTTATTCTCTGCCTCTGAAAATGAGGATAGGACATTGTGCAGCAGCTATCTCCTCAAATTGTGATCCCTCCTCTTGTAGCATAGCTATTCTTAGAGCCTCCAGCCAAGAGCCTTCCATTATTTTGGATACAGCATGAACATATCATGCAAGACAATCCTTGCTGCAGGTTTTGTAGCTAATACAACTAAACTAATCTATGCCAGAATCAATTATTAAATTGCATCCCATATTAAAGCAAAGATAATCACTGGTACTTGGATCCCATCTCTGTGACACAGGTAAAGACTGCAGTTATGTGAAAGCCCCATTGCCACCGTGTCTTGAATATACAGCCACCATCAGTGCTAACAGGACGATTAACAAACATTTAATAAATGTGGCATATTTTGGTGGACATGAGCTGTCCCTTGCAGATGGGGAACAGTAGTTTGTCTCTGAGCTCTGGACCTGCTTTTTTGCCAGGATTTAGCTCCTCAAGCTTTGTGCCAGGCAAGTTAAAATGCCTCAAACACTGGAGTTTGGGTTTGAGTTTTCCCCTGCAGCCCACCATGGAGCACAGGTGAAAGTCACACACTGCCACTTCAAAATGTAATATCCCAGCTGAGAAAAGACACACTAAACGCCCATTTCCCACCCAGTGAGCAACCAGCAGCAGTGTTGGCATGCTGAGCGATGGAGCAGCAGGAGGTCAGGTCTGTGGAAGGGCAGTGCAGGTGCGGGCAAGACTGTGCCACACCATGCCGTGCCATCCTGCGCTGTCCGCAGGGCTGAGCTGGAGCCTCTCACCCATAGCTGCCTTTGGGGTGCACCCAACAGCCCATAAAGTTTCTTCCACAGCAAAAACATCCTGGGGTTTGTGAGCCTGTTCCTGAATGCACCCCGGGGTCACCATCCGACCTCACTCTGCGTTTCAAGTCACCTTCACAGGATCTGGTCAGCTCTTCAAAAGAGAGACGTTATTGCTGCTTAATAAAATGATAGACAGATCTGGATGAGTGTTATGACAGTGGCACTCATGTTCACTTTTCAGTCTGTTTTATCATCTCCATAAAGGTTTAGATCCATGACAGTACTGCTGCCATGCAGCTTGGGAGAGAAAATACCTGCTGCAAAATTACAGTGTGAGCACAGCACAGTGTATCCTGCCAGTACCAGCCTTTGTGCAACGAGCAAAACAATGAGGCTAGCATAGGCTTCCCAGGTTAAAAAACTGTTCCTTATCTTCACAGCAATGCACAGGAATAGGGTATTTATATCTGCCAAAATAATAACACCATGCCACGGATTAGCTACTGGTTCTGCCATAGTGAGTTTGAAGCTTTAAAGCCAAGCAACGCAGAATTTTCCATCAAGTTTTTGTAGAGACATGAAGTTTCCCATTGCCTCTATCGTATGTTTGGTCTTGATCTGCAAAGGTGCTTTGAAGACAAACGATGTGTGCAAAGTTGCACCCCAACAGGGTGCCGGGTAGGACTTTTCCCTGGTTCGTCATGGCTTTATTTAGCCAAATATTGAAAACCTCCAAAGACGATGTCCATCAGCCAGGGTACATGTCCCAGGGCTGCACCACCCTCCTGAAGGAGATGTTTCTCCTGATGTTACGACCCAAGTTGCAGTCTGTGGCCGTTGCCCCTTGTATCACTTGTCAGTGCAGAGGCGAGTTTCACTCCATCCCCTCTGTACATGCCCTCCAAGTCACTGTAGGCTGTTGCTTGGTCCCCTCCAACCTCCTCTCCTCCTGATTCACCAAGCCATCTCCTTCCACCTCTCCCCATAGGCAACATCCTCCAGGCTCCAATCATCTTGGTGGCCCCACTGAATCCCCTCCAGTTTCACCCCCGTCCTCACGTGGGATGCCATACCCCCTCTGTACAGACAGATACCTGCATTAGAAGCCCTCTCCTGCCGTGCTCTCGCTGGCTCCGTCACTGCCCTCTCCCCTGCAGCCGCATCTCTGCTGAGAGCCCCAAGGATGCCAGCAGAGTGCAAGGATTACCTGTGCCGGAGCTGGGCCAAACCAAGACCAGGTTGGCTCCCTTAACAGGTTACCACATCTCTGGAGGGTGATCACAATCTGGATGATCCCTGGGCCTTTTCCTTTTCTTGCTCCCATGTACCGTGCACTCTCTGCGGGACCACAAAGGGGAATAGCCAAGAGGTGAAACTTCAGTGCGCAGGGTTTGGCCACCACTTTCCCAGGAAGGATGCCATGTCTTGATCCCCCAATTGGCTTTTCATCACCACCTTTGCGATGAGGCAGAAAGCTATTGTTGTTATCAGCAGCAACAGAGCAAGCAGCTCACCAGCAGCTTCCCCCAGTAACTCTGTTGTCACGGCACAGAGCCACCATTCAAACACGGGGTTAATTGATACCCGCGTAGTGGTACACAGCATACAGCAAGACCGTTTTGTTCTCCCTGTAGGAGGCTTTATAAATTTTGTTATTCAATCAAACATCCACATTGTGGAGGAAGATGTGAAAGGAGGAATGTTCACCCTGGCCAGCAGTGGGGCAGAAAAAAACAGCACGGTCTCATTCAAATGCTTTACGCCAGCCTGATCAGTACTGTGGCTGCTGGGAGAAGCAGCTTTTCCCAGGCATGGAGCCATCATCCCTTTAAACCCAGTGTCTGGTGAGGTGGGACCTCGTCCCCTCACCCACTGTGGTGGAGCAGAGCAGAGGCTCAGGTCTCACTGGGTGCTCTTGGCTACTCTGGGACTTGGCCCCTTTTTCCTGCCATCCCAAGGTGTCCTCCAGGGAAGGAGAGCCAGGGTCACTCATGCCGTCTGACAGGGATGGACTGCACGTTGCATCCTCCCATTGGTAAGGAGCTTCTTCCAACAGCCGTGCAGGGAGATCTGGTGGTCCACAGCCTTGGAGGGGAAAAAAAATGCATCAAAGACAATGACAAATCACCAACCCGAGTGCAAGGGATGTCTTTAACACAAGTTGCAATGGCCTTGGAATCCCCGATGTCCGTGACTTAGAAACCCATCCTTGTTCCTTGAGGGCAGCAGGAAGGCTCCCACTGATTTCATTGGGAAAGCGTCACCTCCCCTTCATGCCCAGGGGTGGTTCCAGCATGAGCAGGAGGAGTTTTTGACCACTGTGCCACGCTGGGGGAGCTCCACATTTGCCACGCAGCCCGCCCAGAGGACAGGCTGGCCGGTGGGCTCGTGAGATGCCACGTCTGAGCTGCTGGAGGTCACCAGCCCCAAGGGGCTCACTGGTCCAGTCAGCCCCGCACAATGGGGACTCCCTGGAGGCTGGATGCCAAGTGGCTTTGGAGAGACAGGTGAGGTGTTGACACCTGGAGCAGGGAAGGGAGAAACTGAGACACCCGCCTGGATCCCCATGGTCCTGCTGGGACTGACAAGGTGAAGATGTGCTGGGCCAGTGCCAGGGGAAGGGGCCGAGGAACCAGGGGAGGGGGCCAGGACGGTCCGACGTCTGCTGAGCTCTTTCCCTGTGACCCACAGGAGAGCTTCTGGGCACGAGCCAGCCTGCATATCCAGGGGGCATGGCTGTGGGTGCGTAACTCCCTGAGAGCCTCTGGGGGCATGCAGCAGCTGGCACTCAGGGTCCGAGAGCCCCCGGGACATCAGGCAGGATGGGCATGAGGACTCGCATCCCCAACTCCTCATCTGTGCTGGAGACCCAGGTCTTGCAGGTGCCGCGGGGGCCACAGCCGTGAGCAGCGGTGTGCTGCGCAGGGCTGAGCACTCAGCACAGCACCAGGAGAGCCAGGGTCCAATCCACACAATGTGCCTGGTGAGCAGAGATGGGGCCAGGACTGCTGGCAGTCTCAAGCTGGGAGAATGACCCCTGCAAGGCATTAACAACAGATTGGTGAGAAGTGGAGCACTGACCTGGATCAGGGACAGAAAACAAAGAGAAGGAAAGTGCATTTTTGCTGTGACAAATGATGCCCCATAGCTGGCTCATGACCTGCGGTGCTTGACAGTTACCTGAAAGGTGTGCAAATGAGAAAATGTTTTCTTGTGCAGGGAGAACCCACTGACCTGGGTCAGACCAGACTGAAAGGAATGGGCAGCCAGAGCTCGTAGGGAGGCGTGTGAAGGGGCAGGGAAATACAACAGGGAAGGACAGTCAGCAGTGATGGACCGGGGAGGTTTTAGAGCAGGTGTTCTTTATGGCTGGACCCCAATTTGTAGAGCTAGCAGCTCAGCAGCCCCACAAACCAGCCGTCTTTCCAGAGAGCTGGAGGCAATCACAGGCACTTGTGAAAAGCCACTCAAAAAGGGCTTCCTTAGGGGAGTCTCCATGAGGCATATGTTGCTCTTGGTGGGTTTGCCCACCCCAATTGGCTCCAGCCAGTGTGAGGCTGGTCGTTTCCCACGTCTTCTGGGGAAAGGGCTCCTGAGCAGGGGCTGAGTCCCAGAAAGCATCTGGTGGTTCAACTCAGGCAGAGGCGCTGGCCCAAGGCTCTGCAATTTCTGAAGTGCAGGTTGGTTTTCGAAACTAATGCCTTTGGAGGGTGTCTGTGCCGTGGAAAGGGGCCAGGAAAAGGCCATCAAGCCCCTCTGATGATCGCCCAGAAAATAAGATATGTGGAAGTCAAGGCCTTCTAGGGCCCAAATCATGAGAGAAGGCATTTGGGGGGCTGCCGTATGTACAGGAGCTTTGCCCAGCCTCCCTCAGGATGGGCGAGTCTAATCAGGCACTGGTGGTTTTCTCCAGGGGAAGATGACGATGACGATGAATGTGGGGAGGAGAAGCTGCCCTCCTGCTTCGACTACGTGATGCACTTTCTGACTGTCTTCTGGAAGGTCCTTTTTGCCTTCGTGCCCCCGACAGACTACTGGAATGGCTGGGCTTGCTTTGTTGTCTCCATCCTCATGATCGGCCTCCTGACAGCTTTCATCGGTGACCTGGCATCCCACTTCGGCTGCACCATTGGCTTGAAGGACTCGGTCACCGCAGTCGTGTTTGTCGCACTGGGGACGTCAGTGCCAGGTAAGGACAACAGCAGGATTTGTTGTAAAGGTCCATTTCTGCCCAGTCTGGGTTTGGGTTTGGGCTGGGAAAGCTGGGCACAGTGTGGTCCTTGGCTGTGCTCTGCAGGACCCCCAAGGATAGATATGAGGTGAATGTGGAAGTTGTTTTTCAGTCTCAGGTGGGCAGGGAGGATGGAACCAGGATGTGGATTCAGTCCACAAAATTATTTCAAGGACCTTGCCCTTGCAAAGACTGTGAAGTGTCTATTTCTGTGGACAGCCTCCACAGCATCCACTCTCAGAGTAGGAAATTGGTCTTTGATTAAAACGCTGCCTGTGTTGGCAGTCTTGCACTTTCTGAGCATCTGCTCCTTTAACCTTGCGTCCCGTTAGGTGGTAGTCCATACTCAGGGTGCATCATCCCCCACAGACACCTTTGTGTGAGACCAGGGTCAACTTTGGTTCAGATGGATCAAGGTGAGATCGCTGAGCTGGGGGAGCTGCTCGAAATGCAACTTGTGAAGCCCGTAGAAGGCCCCGGCCCCACAAATGTTTGGAGACGTGTCTCTGATCGAATGGTCACCCAGCCTCAGAAGACAGCAGAGACTGAGGGCTGACCAGGGAGAGAAAAAAAACATGAGTTTCCATACCTACATACCACTTTGTACATACCAATGCACATTGATTTGCTGCAACCCAGCCAACTTGCTGCAACTGGCTCAGCAAAGGGCCCCTCTTAGGGATGAACCAGTGCACTGAAGAGGATGGTCCCAGTGACACGGTTTCTCTGGGAAGTCCCATGTCAGCTTGTGTGAGAGGGCCTGTGCCTTTCTCTCACCTTACTGCATGTGCTGTGCTGGCTAGGCAGAGCCTGGTTCCCAGAGAAGGGGCTCTACCCCAACCCAACCACCCCTCACGTCGGTCACACCTTCCCTCGCCACCCCAGACTTCCAGTGATCAGCACTCAGGTGCTTGAAGGTCTTGAAATTGTCCTAAAGCTATCAGATCCCAAAAAAGAAGCAGCAGAACCAAAAGGAAGAATAGATTAGGGCCAGAAACAGAAGAAGTAGCATTTTTTAGACCTCTGGCACTAGAGCTTTTAGGCGCGAGGTTTGCAGGGCTGTCTCACACCCTTGACAGTGAAAATCTTCCCTCCTGCTTTTGTCAACAAAGGGTAGCATTTAAGAAGTTCTTTTTAGGGTACATTTGGCTACTCTTGTTTGAACTAGCAGATGCTCCCCAACTGTGTTGTGTTAGCTGGGTGCTAGTTGGTCTCCTCCACACCTGCCTTCCAGGAGGCAGGCAGACAGGCATCAGACAAATGTGCAGTGAAAACAAGACTGACGGGGACCTTCCCTGCATTAAAAGCACCGCTCAAGCTTGCAGAAGTGTGCATGGTTGTTTCCGCACTCTGCATGGCACTGGCAGTGTGCCCCATCCATCCTCCCACAGTGGCAGCTGGAGAGCCACAGAGGCATCAGCATTGTCCCACAACACCATTACTGCACCGTGACCAAGGCTGAGATCAGGGTGAAATCCCTTTTCCTTCCCTCAGCAGTCAGATGCACTTCCATGGGAGCTTTTCTAAAAAAATAAAGCAGCCTTTTGATTTCTTTGCTGCAAATGGCCCCTCTCGCTGTGCTTATAGGTGCCCAGACCCTCCCGTTACATGAAACTGGGTCTTCGTGCCAGGCTGAGCTTCACCGTCTCACCTTGGAGTCCCACAGGGAAGGAGCGTAAAGGAAACTCTGTAGAATTAAAAAACATGAAATCTGACCTCACCGTTTTCTTTTTCTGAGCCACACTCTGCTGCCTGTACCCAAGGTGATGTGGAAGTGCAGATGAGTTAAGGATTCATCTTCTCATTGTTAGCTGAGAGTGCTCACCTGGACAAAACCCAGATGCTAATCCCCCCCATCCCGCTCACCTCCCCTGGAGATCCAGAGTGGGTTTGGATGTAAAATCAGCACTTCCCTGTGGTGCAGAGCAGTGTCATGCTGGTCTACTTGACACAAGATCTGCCATGTAAAAGGCCAGCTGAGCTTTATCACAGCAATTTTGCCACTGGTATTAAAGTTGGTGGAGCACCTGGGCAAGCGTACACCCACCTGCATGGTTTTTCTCCCTAAGGGGTGAAAGATGACCACTTGTTTACCAAAGTGTCAGGGTCTGCACAAGGCACTGGACTTTAGTGAGGCAAAAGGTTTTGGAGCGACATCATTAAAGCAAACACAGAAACACAAATACAAAATTTCAGGCGACCTGGAGGACAGATGCAAACCATTGTGGCTCCCACAAAGCTTTTCCAACCTTTTCTGTTCTTTTACAGGTCAACACATTAGTGGATGTGGGAGAAGGGGCCAACACCGTGTAGTACTGGGAAGTGTTGTCCCTTGCTTGAAGCACTGTGGGGCATCTGGGGCCATACTGGGGGAAGCCCCATATTTCTGGACATTGAGATTTCCTTCCTGGGCATTTCTGGACCCTGATTGTCACTCTGGCTCTGGCCAGACGTGCCCTTCCTTGGGAGTGCCCATAGACGGGGCTGTACCCTGTCCCCTTACCCACTGTCTTCATTCCCCAAGTGATGCCTTGACGTTTGTCCCCAAGCTGCCTGCTGCTGTCCCTCCTTACCTGGCTGTTTCCCGAGTGTTTCTCTCTGCCTTCTCTTTGCAGACACGTTTGCCAGCAAAGTAGCAGCGACGCAGGACCAGTATGCGGATGCCTCCATCGGGAACGTCACCGGGAGCAATGCTGTGAACGTTTTCCTGGGTATCGGGGTGGCTTGGTCAATCGCAGCCATCTACCACGCGGCGCACGGACAAGCCTTCCAAGTCTCGCCTGGCACCCTGGCCTTCTCCGTCACCCTCTTCACCATTTTTGCTTTTATCAGTGTGGGCGTGCTGCTCTACCGGCGGAGACCCGAGATTGGAGGTGAGCTGGGCGGGCCGCGGACTTCCAAGCTGCTCACATCCTCACTCTTTATCCTCCTCTGGCTCTTGTACATATTCTTCTCATCTCTGGAAGCCTACTGCCACATAAAGGGCTTCTAAAGGGACAATCAGAGATAGTAAATATATATATATCTATATGTATCTATATAGAGCGATATATAGGTATAGATATAGATATAACGCTGTGTATAATGAACAGAGAAAGAATAAAAGAGATTTGCCATGTTCACACACCTGCTGATGGAAAGCGGCTTTGGAGCATCCTTTGAACTAGGCAGGACCCCAAAGCCAGCAGGACTCCTCCCCGGGCAGCGGCCCCGGCCAGGAGCCCAGCGGCAGGGCCCTCTCTGCAACTCTACCAACAAGAGCAGCTGGTAGGCACCGAGCCCTTTCCCCTCGCTCTCTCCCACCCGCCGACACCCCCCCGGGAGGATGGATGCGGAGGCGACCGGGGCGTGTTGGTACGGGGAAGGCCAGAGTAGCTGGTGAGAAACAGAGCAGTGGGCGAGGGACGGAGAGGAAAGCGAGGGTCCTGATCTCCGACCACCATCCGCCTGCCTTCGCCACTCAGGAACGTCCCCTCTGGCCCTGTTGGAGAGAAGCGAGAGACCAGACTGAAGACAAGGGGAAATTGGGAGCTTTCTAAGGATAGAACACAAACCGTTTTCGTCATTGATTTGGGGTTGGGTTTGGGGTTTTTTTTTATTTTGTTTTGGCGTGTGTACAACTAGCACTTCCCCCTCACATGCCCCTCACCTTTCCCCCTCCGTGCTTCGGGGATGCGCAGCCGCAACCTCGTGTCCAGTGTCCTAAGCTGAGGCTGCGCAGAGTGGCGGGGGCCTTCCTCCTGCCTCGTCTGCCTCCTCGGGCATGCTGTCGTGGTATTTGTAACATTTGCATGAATGAAATGAACCCTATCTGTATATAGCATCCTATAGCGATAGTCCTTCCAGCCATGTGGGTTGAGCATTGCAGATACAAGTGTTTTCTTTTCACTGGGTTTTATTTATTTTATTTAGTTTAGTTTCGCCATAGGTTTTTGTTCGTTCGTTTGTTTCCTCTTAGCGGGGGTAAAAGGAGGGAAAGCCGTCCCCATTTATTGCTCCGCGCGTGGGTCCATGAGAAGCAATAACAGCCACACAGATGTAGGTTTTCAGGGGAGGAAAACCCATACCCCAGCGACTGCAGGCTCCATCCCACTGCGTGGCTGGGGTGCCCCCCACAGCGGCCAGTCCAGGACGTGGCTGAAGCTGGTGTGAAGGCCTCCACCATCCACAGGAGGTTTTACACAAGGTCCCAGGGAGCCTGAGCGGGATGAGCAGCATCCGAGCCCAAGGGGGGATGAGCATGGCTGGCCCCCAGCACCTCACCTGCCTATGCCTTTATAGCCAGTGGCTGCCTCGGAACCCTGATATTTCCCGTGTCCCCAGAGGTCTAGTGACAGCCCCTGTTTCTGAGCGTTAAGCCATCAGGATCAGTCCCCGAAGCTGGTCCTTTCCCACAGCCATTTGGAGGCAGAATAATTCAGCGTAAGGGCTGAAGGGCCATAACGAGATCTCCCACGCCACTGAGCGTAACTGGGAAGCATCCCCCAAGGAAAAAGGCCACATTTTGCACTGTCCGAACCTGAAATCAATGGGAAGGATGAGACAGGGAGGTGTAACTCAGCATCACCCCCCGACTCCGGCAGTGGGGGCTGGGGTAACGAGCCCAGCCCAGGGTGTAGAGCCCCCTTGGGTGCAGCACAGGGCTGACGTTGTGCGCTGGTGTTGAGAGATGCCTTCTTACCCTACACCCTTCACCAGGCTTCCTGGTGGCCCAGCCAGGCAAACGCCCAGCCTGCACGTCCACTGGTGATCTCTTCCCACCCAGCTGAAAACCATGTCTGATGCTTGCACCATAACTGATTGGCTGGGGGTATTTGTACTCATTTTGAACAATCTGTGGAAATTTTTGTAACCTGTTGTAAGATTTTTCTCTAGGAATATGAAGTTGTGGGGTTTTTTTTTTTCTTCTTCTCAAGCCTTTTCTCACTTTTGATGGGTTTGGGGGTTTTCTTTTTGTTTCTCGTTATTTTGAGGGAAGAATCAAACACAGGCGCAGGTTGTTCAGGTTTATGATTACCGTTATGTACAATGATTTCATTTTCATCTGTTTGGCTTCATTGATTTTTCTTTGTGTGTATTGCCCACCACTATAGGCAGTGAGTCCACTAATTGTGATGATCCTTACCAATGCTACACAATGCACAGACAAATAAAGTTTGTAATGATTCCTGATGGATCCAGTAGTGCTCCTGCATATTCTCTATGGAACACCCTTCCCTCCCCTCCTGTTGTCTCCCTTTCCGTTGTACCCATCTCTTCTTTACTCACTGGTTTGCCTTCGCTGTGCTTCTGCCACTGACGGGGGGGCAACGGTGCCTCCACACGCCCGCTCTTGCCCCATCTCATGGCTTTCTTCCTCCTCCATCTCCATCGCGCCTCGGGCTTGGTGTGCCGTGGTACAGCCAGGGCTCACAGCCTGCCCAGCTCTCAGGGGGATGCAGGAAACCACCCAGGGACAAAGCGGCAGTGCGATCCTTCTGGGGCCAGGACCCGCTCCTGTGCTGGGTCCCCCATCATTGCTAGCTTGCCCTAGGCTTGGGGAGAGCTGTGCATATGCCCCCAAGGTACTCAGCAGCTCTTTCTGCTTGTGTCCTCTAGCTACGTAGAATGACTCCTGGCTCTCGTTCCAGCCTCACGGTGACTTGCACTAGGCTAAGCCACTAGCTAATGATAAGTAGGAATGCAGCAAACTGGGAGCTCAGGCTGCTCCGGGAAGCTGCCTGCCCGTGCCCCAGTCCAGGTGCCGTGGGCCGTTTGTGACCCCCATGGCTGGACAGATCTCAGGCAGCACTGAGGAGGAGAAATGTCTCTACGTGCCCAGGGATGTTGCTCCTCCCTGTGTTTCATCCAGCATCTGTTGAGCTGCTGTCCCCTAATAACCGCAATGTCCCCCACACTCCCGGAATGCTTCCAAGGTCCCGCTCTGACAGCTGAACTCAAACACCAGCTCTGGAGACAGTGTGTGTCTTCATCTGCTGGGGCTTTCCCCGCTCCTCCCAGTCAGGCTCCTGCCCATCGGCTGTGCAGGAGCAGGATGGGGCCACACGGCCGGTCAGACTGGCACCGACAGCAGCGGCTGACTTGCGAGCTCTGGGCTAGAAATGTGGCACCGAGCAAAAAAAGAGAGAGGGTAGGAGGTAGCCAATTTTGTTGCAGCATGGCGGTGTCTGTAGAGGCCCGGAGGCAGTAAAATTCCCATCTGCTGATGTGAGGGGATGTGTGGCAGAGCAGGTAGCTAACACACCCTGGCAGCCAGAGGATTTAACATGATATCTGGGCTGCTCTCGCCCAAACCTGGCCCTCCCCACACACTACGATGCTTTTTGCCAACTGTGCCGCCAGCCCCACTCTCCCTGCAGGTGCTCGGCACCCTCCAGGATGAGTGTGGGTCAAGCTTCAGTGCTCGTCGAGCCCCAGGCGAACGCAGCCGGTCACGTCCGTGTGCTTTTCCCAGGCAGTGAATGATGAAAGCAAAGCAGCTCTCCTGACCCAGTAATTACATCTACTGAAAGGTGATGTTGGTATTTTACTCTCATCATTTGCTTCTTCAGAATGAATTGCAGTCACTGAAGTCATTAACAAGTTGAACGGGACTCGTGTAGCAGCTCAGTTTAACAGGCAGTAAATAACTCTTCTGCTCACAAAGCTTTCCGAAGGGAATGATGGAGCATTGCTTGCTTAGGACGAGGCCTAAATCACACAGTAAACACCAGCCTTGTTTATGCAATTATTCTCTGCCAGCGTCGTGCTTTCTGGCATCTTTAATGGGCGGATGCAAAGTGTGATGTGTATCATCCGCCCAGTTGCTCACGACGGAGCCACCGATGAGCAGTGAGCCTTTCACCTCCCTGGCTGCCGCCTCGCCGTGCCAAGGGGAAGGACCGCTCCACCGAGCCCCGGCCGCCCACCTGTGTTCGCAAGGGTGCAACGCCGGCTCTGCCGCACCAACCTCGTCTTTAAATCAAACCCTCCAAAGGCAAAAGCAAACTGCCCTCCTCTGCGAGACGCCCGTGCCTGGCAGCATGCTGCCAGGGGACAGCAGGAGGGAGCGCAGCCCCCAGCGCAGGCACATCTTGCCCCTGCCCATCCCGTGGGTCTGATGCCCGTGCTCTCCCATCTCCTCCTCATCCCTGCCAGCCTCCCCACCCTCCCTCGCAAGGGAAGGGCATCGAGCATCTCTGATAAAGCCCTGGGTTCAGGGAGGTTGCCAGAAACCGCACTTCAAACCCTTGGCCTCTGTCCATCCTCCTGCCCCAGACTCTTGTCACCCCCTCTCATCACCCCGCTAGCCAAAGGCAAACCTTTCCATGGAAAAGGATGCAGCACGGTGCAAAGGACATTCAGAGACAGACATCCGAGTAACTCAACAGGCCACTGCAAAGCGCTTGGGGACAAACAGAAGGAGCGCACAGAGCAGTGACAGCCCTGAGCATCTTAGCAAAACCATATCCCCAGCTCTTCGGGGGCCAACAGGAGTGGAGGCAAATCCCAGCCACTACCTGAACGCATGGAAAAGGCACAAAAGAGTCAGGGACTCTGCAGGTCCCTGGTGCCAGTGGGAGCCGCAAACCTGCAGCATCTTACGGCTGAGCCTGCCCGAACTGCTGCCGCCCGCCTGCACCCCTGCCAGGGCAGCAGGGGAACCGCTCGCTCCAGAGGTGCAGCGGATCCCTCGTCTCCAAACAATGCTCCCGCCCATGTGTCACCCATTTCCAGGCTGCCTGCGACAGCTCTGGGGTGAGGGGACATTGCAAGAGTCATTGGTGCATCTTTCTCCCAGCTTGCATTGCTTCCTTAAAGGACAAAAAGGAAACGGAGGCTTTGAGCCCTTTCTGGTCATGAGTCTGGATGCAGTCTACAAACTCGCCGTGCTATTTCTGCTGTGGGAGGGGAGAACCAGAGCTCGTGTGTTATCGTTACAGCTATTTTTAAATGCTTGGGTAAGAATCAAGTGCAACAGTATTGGCAGTCATATAGGTACCTAAGGAGGAGGTTCAGCTGCATTCCCGGAGGGGCAGGGCTGGGCATAGCCAGAAAGTGATACACAGAGAGAAAAGAGGGAAGACTTAATGCCGGAGGGTATTATTCTGGGAGAAACCCCTGCCTTATTTTTCTGGAGGCTTTGG